GAATTTCTACAATACTTTCCAACGATGAATAAATGAGAAGGCTCTCTGAATAATTACAAAAGTTACATGGGTATGCGTCTGGATGTAGTCTTCTCTTTTCCGTTACGCATACTTGCACCTAAACCACGCCGACATCAAATCCATACAGCACATCCACGTCCACACTCCACTCTACTTTTACAAGAAATAAAGAATACTTTTTACAGATAATCAAAGCTTACATCTTGATGCTTCTGTAGAATATATTAATCACAGTGGATGATCAGTGTTAAAGTTTAACTCAAGAATGAGATGCCTCTTTCTAAGCGTGTGGATTTGGATGTGGGTGTGAATCTTCTAGTCCCACTGCGCACATCCATACCCAGTTAAAAACATTTTTTGTTGCATTCTTCATGTAAGAGAAAAATCAATGCTTTTGTTTTCATTTCTACCGGTTAGATTTCATCAAAAAAACCTGAATACAGCATTCGATAGAGCTCGCCGAGCTGCATCTTGCTCACTGCGTGTCTTGATTGGCTCAGTCAATGGTACGAATCGTTTTCAAAAAAACTCGAACCGACTGCTATCATCTCTTACATGATTGAGTGAAGTTTTTATCATAGAGTATCTATAGGGGACCTTCGGTAGAAATCCACCTTTGCAAATCCGTCTCTTCTCTTGTCTTGTTGAGTGAACGGCCAGATTCTGACTTCTTTTATGGCTACTCCGTAAAAAAAAGACAGTAAGTGAATAAATTATGAAACTCTTTTTTCTCTCCTTTCGACTGTTGAAGTGTTCTTCGCGTTCGTTAAAACACACTTTCTCGTTCTCCTTCTCACTTCTGTTTTGAATTATAATATTTAATGTTTCTTCAAACAGGTTAAACAAAATAGCAACAATCTTGAATGAAACTTGTACACAAATGATTATTATTATGTTTTTTCTCTCAATGACTGAGCGTATCATATTTTCGTAATTTTAGACGAAATGAAGTCTAGGAATAAGGATAGATTGGAGATTGTTCAGGAACTTTGCGAATGGAATAAGAGAAATACTTTTTCAAAGAGGTACATTATTACGAAGTGAAAGTAGATATTAAAACTGTGAAAATGTATAATCTTTATTATTTCTATTGCTTTCTTTACGGAGCATAGCTGAAACTATGTTTTTTTTCTCTCTTAAACTCTATCAAAGGCAGAATATCAAAGAGAATAGATACTCTCAAAAACTAAAAGAAAAAGGAAGAAACATAAAAAGCTAATATGATCAAGTCTTCTAAAAATATGAAGGGACATTTAAGTGATAAATCGAGGAAAGAGGAGGAGGAAAGCTAGTTTTCCATTGTTATCATGGTTTTCTTCTTAGGAAACGAAGAATCAGAATGAAAGTCTTCTTGAATTCATGTAATTGAAAGAAAGTATTCAAAATAATCTCGAATATCTTCTGACTCCTAGAAAGAGTAGGATAACCAAGGAGCAAACTATTTCTGAGTAAAAGGGGGAAATATTCTGATTTCGAGAGAAACCTGCGTACGTTCTTGTTCGAGATTCTTTTAAAAATTACAAAAGAAGTTTCAGAATAATTAAAGAAAAAAACGGACATGGAAAATTTTCTTTATTTTCTTTATAAAAAGAAGAAGAAAACGTCTTTCATGATGAATAAAAAAAACACATGTAAAGAGCGATTGTGCAACTTTCTGTTACTGCCATGGTCATGAGCCGAGAGACATAGAAAGTAAAGTGTTGTATTTTCGAAAGAAGATCAAATAGTGACTGTGATTCATTTTGCTCACACTAATTATTTAGAGAAAGGACGCTTTTATAGCTACAATATCCAGCTATGAGACGGACCGTCGGATAAATTTGGTGTATTAGTGCTTAGTTTGAAAATTCGAAAATGTTCCAGGTTGACTGAATTTGATAACTGTAATGTGTATTTAGCAGCTTTCTAACGCTGAGTCATCAAACTTGAGAAAGACCGGTGACTCATTAGTATGAATCTGAAAAGTTGTTTTCTCTATCTCTTCTCTAGGATCCCAAATATCGTCTTCAGATTGGAGGCAGAATCCTCGAGCACTATCAACAGATATACCTTTAGTTAGACAAACTTAGTTCATTTTGTGTATAGAAAGTTTTTCTTTCAGACTTTGCTTTATTCTGAAATACTTTTTCTCTTCTTCTCAGAAGTCTAAACTGCTCGAAATCACACCTTCAGGCAAATGAATGGGTTATTTATTCAAAAGTTAAATATAAAAATCACCGATTCACTTTCTCATTTTCAGTTCCGTTAACTTTTAAAAATCGTCCTTGCGTATATTAATGTTCTATTCAACCACTTTCTTCTCTGCTTCTTCATCGTATTCTAATGTTGTAATCCGTTGTTGAATCGTTGGTCATTGAGATGATTGAGTTAGCTCTTGACTCTGAGGACTTCTTATTCCTCTTGTCGGCGGTTCTAACGACAATTGGAGAACTTGTTCATCAAATGCATCGCCAATTGCTGTTTTAGGTCGTTGCACAAGAATCTGTTCTAATTCAGTGTCTGATGGATAATGATTTTTCATTGCCTTTAATTGCATCACTGTTCGACAGAAAGCTTCAAGTTCACTACTTTTCTGTTTAAAATTGCTTGAATCGAATTGTGTATCAGTGACTAAATAGAACTCCAGTTCTTTATTTCGCTCAAATTTTGCATCATAATAGGCTGCCTGTTGTTCAGCATTGAGTAGACGTGCATTCGAAGGTGTATCAGGATTACTGTACTTGCTGTATTCAATTTTAATTGTAATTACACGTTCTGCATTTCGTTCTTTTACAATTTTTGTTTTTTTAATGCGATCAACTAACATTTTCATTCGACAACACCAACAACGAAAACAATTACAACAGCTAGTACAACAACCTTTGTTCACCTTTGGAACAGGTAGATGTTCTTCTTCAAACTCGGTATTTCGATTTAGATCTTCATTATACAAAATTGTTGTCGTATTTTGAACAGCAGGAACAATTTTGGTTTCCTTTTGACAGCAACCACAAAAATCACAAGTTTTACGACAACAATTGGTTAGATTATCACAACAACGATCACAACAATTTTCACTTAATTGATAAATAGGAGTAATTTCTGATTTGACATCAGCTTGGATACCTTTTTTAATTTTCGATTGGGTGCTGATTAGTAATATATCTTCAAGTGGAAGCATTATGAGTTCTTCTTCAGCAGTGGCTTTTTCTTCGCTTGTCAATTGTCGTGGACCTTGATGAGCTTGCTCTTGATTATTATAACTAACGGTGACCATACGTTTATCTTGAGCCATGTTAGCTTTGAATTGTGAATGACGATAGAGATGAACAGCAAGTATTGGGCAAGTATATTTGTTATCCGATGTGCGAACGCCTAGTTGAAAAATTAGATGAAACAAAATCAAAGTTAGAGTTTGAATAAAAATTCATAAGCATCAACCTAAAACTCTGCAGATGAAACTACTCCAGCGACGCAAACTATGCAATTCACGCAACTTTATGACGTTCTATAATCTCGTTCTGGGCTCAGGGATAGAGTACGTTATCCTAGGGAAGACATGACAAAAAAACTAATTTACTTTACCGATTATAATCGAACAAGCGAAGACATAACCGTTCGATTAGGTCTTTCTAGCATTTTTTCGATCGAAATCGAAGAAAGAAATAACCTTCTGCTGCTTTAAAAGAGACTGGTCATCGTTTCTTAGGATTTTGAAAAAGTTCATTGTTATTCGCGGAAATTCACCGCGAAAAAAATCTCATTTTCTTGAAAAATCGATTAAACTCGGAAGAACTGAAGATGAACTGCATTTCTCGTGGTAAAGAAAGACAAATTTTTATTTCTTAAAATTTTCCTCAATCGTTTCATGTTTTCTTGCTTCGACGAATTTTCGTAAGGCTGAAATAGTATCATAAAATGGACGGCGAGAGATTCTTCCTACCTGGATAAACATTAATAAAGCCATAAGGTATCTCTTTTTTATCCACAGCTTTTTCCACATGGATTGTGGTGGCAGTTTGCTGTTGTATTTGAGGAGGTGGTACACAGAATCCACAACAACCTCTACGCCTAGGCATTTTCTTCGTGGCGGCTGTGATCGAAAGTACGACAAGAACGGCTATAAAGTTGAGAGAAAGAGAAAGAGAAATGCGATTACCTATTATCGAGATAGATCAGAGAAGGTGGAAAATAACTGATCTTTTAACTGACCGTATTCTTGATATTGTGCTCTTATTTGCTGAGCAAATACGATCTGGAGGAATGCAGAGAGAGATGCAGAGTAATAAGTTACAAGAGATTGGTATGCTTTTAAAAAATGATGAAAAGTGTATTGAATTTATAGACTTTTTTAAATTGTGACTCTCTCTCTCTCTTCTCACTTCTTCTCTCTTTCTTCTTGCCTTCATAGAGAGAAAAATTCCACTTGTTCTTTTCGCCGTAAATGACCGGCGTTTTTCTTTGTTCTCCTTTCAAAACTATTAAAAGAGGTGTCGAATTTTCTTTTTTTGTATATACTGCATCAAATAACAAAAAAAAACAACAGTGTAGTCCATAAAATGGGTGATGTCAGAAAGAAAAATGCTCTATGTGATTAAGTGTCATTTGCTAACAAGCACAATGGCATTATTTCGTCATGATTATTAACAGAGAGAAAGAAATGAAGGAACATAGAGAGGAAAGACAGAGACAGAGAGAGAGAGATAGCTAGAAATAAACTATTTATGAGCTATTTCATGGAAGCCATGATTGATCATGCTTCACCGATGATGACCGGTTTGCCTAGTTTTTCTTTAATCTGCACCTTTGAAAAAAAAGACTCTTCTTGTTTCTCTCGAAAAGTCCTTGAACAATTTCCAATCTATCGTTATTGTTAGACTTCATTTCGTCTACAATTATGAAGACATGACAGACCTCAGTCACTGAGAGTCGAAGTAGAAGAATTTATAGTCTTACGAGTTATCTAGAACAAAGAAATCAAAGTTACTGTACTCCGCATTTTTTCCTTTATCACTTTTTTCTTTTCTAACAGAAAATGCAGCATCCATGGTTTTTGTTTCTCAAACAAGAATTACTCTACTTCATATCTCTTACTCTCTGTTTACAAAAAAAAACATAATAATAACGATCTGCGTGGAAGTTTCGTTTAAACCTGTTGCTATTTTGTTTAACCTGCGTGAGGAAACATTAAAAATTATATTTCAAAAGAAAAGGGAGAAGGAGAACGAGAAACTGTCTTTTAACGTGGACGTAAAACATGGCAACTATCGAAGAGAGAGAACAGAGAATTTCAGAATTTATCTGGGGTGTGGGTGTGAATGTGTGTAACTGGAAAGAGATAGGGTGTGGGTGGGTATTTCCTAGACTGAAAGGCTAGGGTCTAGAAACCGTAATTCACCTGTGTCTGTTTGTCCGTCTGTCTGTCTGTCTGTAACAAGAGCTTGGCACAAATGACCATTTCTAAGGTACAAATGACCATTGTTTTGGCACAAATGACCATTTCTGTGGCACATATTATGGCTGGATCCACTGAAGTGGCACGCGAAGCAGCCGTGTATAATGATGAAGCAAGTGAAGAGGGCAGGCGGAGTTCCAATAAGGAGCTTCTATCTTCCATCGCTAAGTTTCGGAAACGCTTGGTCCAATAGCCAGGAGGGACTCAATCGCTTGCCTCTCTGCAGGAATTTGCCAAGAGGGTATTGTATTTGCAAGGAAGCTGAGAACTTCCCCTGAGCGAGAATCGTGGTTTGGGCACTGCTTCGCACCTGTTTTTCGCGTTGACTTCGGATGCTTTTCGTTTAGTTACTGTGTTTGTCATTTTTTCATTTTCGTCGCATCCATACCCCATTTTTACTTAATTTCCATGTGCTATCCTCGTCTGTCTTGAACTTATGCGACTATGCCTTCGGAAAGGACAGGGGTGCATAAGAAGCCGATTTGGCCCATAGGATATTTTCAGTCACTTTATCGCCTATCCTATGTGGAAAAATGTGGTGATTCTTTTGGTAATAATTTCAAGTCAAGCTGTGAGGATTATAAGCTATTTTGAGGGAGAATACCTGCAAAAAAGTATTGAAGTTTCATTGGGCTCATAGTTGTCTAGTATTAGCTCAAAATATACGACTTTTAGGCAATGTTTCAAGCTCAATCTATATTGGTTAGAAAGAGCG